TAGACCGTTGAAATGTTAAACTCAAGTTTCAATGAAAACTCACCAAATCCTTGCTTCAAGATTCAGAAAGGCCAACAGCAATATAAAAGAGAGTCATATGAAGAAGAACAACAAACTCTATATAGGATTATTTCTTTTTTTGGTAGCAACAACCAGTTGGTAAATAACAACTCCATATTAATTTCTCATAGACTCGTAATTCCAAGTTTTATTGAAGATCTTTGAGATCAATTCTTTAAAGAAAAATATGGGGACTTATTTGATCACTCTAGTTGGCTTCTTGTTTGTGATATTTTCTTATGGAGGTAAAGATGCAGTTTTCACATACTCAATTTGTATACATCTTTTGTTGTTGTTGTTGTTGTGTATTCTCAAACTAGCATGTGTAATCTTGCAGCTGCTTATGATCCATTGGATCCCAATGGGAATATCACCATTAAATGGGATGTAATGTCTTGGACTCCTGATGGCTATGTTGTAAGTTAATTTCCTTCCCTTATTCTCTCTTGTTTCTTTCACCACCTTATTAACATTGTGACAATAGTAAATTATAATCTCTTCCCATTCATGTTCCCTAAATATTAAGTTCTGCATTGGAAAAAAAGGACATTTTTATGATTCTCATGGTCATTTATTCTTGCATGTGAGTGCCTAGCTTATGATATTTAACTTACATATACTGACAGTGTAAATATTTTTTTACATTATCGGTGCTCATTTTCCAAGTTACTAATCTCAATTTTTGGGAAGTTACCTATAGTTATATTTGGATCTAAATTATATTCTCTGACTATGTAAACATTTTTCACAACTATTAGTGTAGTTATCATTTCTACGAGAATACCAATTATTGATTATCATAGAAATTTACTTGCAAATTACCTTATAAATGATTTGATTGTAAATATGTTTTACATAGCTATGCATATAACTTAAAATCGTTATCTTTCTGTTGACCTTTTATACTAGCTACCACTATATAAAAATTAAGTTCTTTATTACTGCACGTTTATGTGCATGGGAAGATCCGTGGTAACTATAAATTCTGAAATCATATTTTTACAAAAGTACAACGAATTCACTGATTAGAATTTAAAGATTCGATGTATTAAATTTAAATTCTGAATCCGTCTTTTGTTCCTAGGCTGTTGTAACGATGAACAATTTCCAAATGTACCGGCACATCATGACCCCTGGCTGGACATTGGGATGGACATGGGCAAAAAAAGAAGTGATTTGGACTATGGTTGGTGCACAAGCCACAGAACAAGGTGACTGCTCCAAGTTCAAAGGAAATGTTCCACATTGTTGCAAGAAGACTCCCACTATTGTAGATATGCTCCCAGGGGTGCCTTACAACCAACAATTCACCAATTGCTGCAAAGGTATGTTAGCCTCAAGATTTTGATGATTGACAACAAGAAATTTAACACCAAATATATCAGTCTGATTCATTGTTTACTTTTTCTAGTAGGTATGCATAAATTATACATTGAATATACATAATTATACACATAATATATATATATTATACAATCATTGGCTATTTCTGTTTAAGCGATTGGATGGACGGTTATTTAAGTTAATTTTTCAAAAATATACAACAACAACAACAACAACAACAACAACAACAAACCAAGTATAATTCCACAGGTGAGGTCTGTGGAGGGTAATGTGTATGCAGGCCTTACCCCTACCTTGTGAAGTCAGAGAAGTTGTTTCCAATATACCCTCGACTCAAGGTAATTCTTCAAAAATATAAAATATAAAATCAAGGTAATTCTTCAAAACTATAAAATCGTCAAATGTTGTACTAAATACGAAATTCAAGAACCTCCAAGTATAACTCCCTTGTAATCCAAGAGAACTGGACGTAGACTTAACGAACCAGTACTATACTCCTCTTGTGTTTTTTTTAGGTGGAGTTTTGGCTTCTTGGGGCCAAGATCCTCAAGCTTCTGTCTCAGCTTTTCAAGTTAGTGTTGGCCAAGCTGGTACTTCAAACAAGACAGTTAAACTTCCCAAGAATTTCACTTTGCTGGGCCCTGGACCTGGCTACACTTGTGGACCTGCAAAAATTGTCCCTTCTACCAAATTTTTCACACCTGATCTTAGAAGGAAAACTCAGGCACTGAGTAAGTTTGGTTCATCACTTGGTCCTGGTTATCATATTCTGCTTTCTGGTTCTTTTACACAGTCAGTGTGTTTGTATATAATGAAAAATATTATTTAGGAAAATGTTTTCTTGAAAGTAAGTCATTTTCTGTTGTTTGATCGCCTGGAATACTTTTCATGAAAAAAGAATTCCACCAAAAGTGAAAAATGACTTTCCTCACTTTTGAGAGAAGTCAATTTCTCACAATTATCTCCACTCTTAACTTCATATCATTGCTTTAACCACTACTTAGATATTATATCAATATTTAATACTCAAAATTTTCAAAACAATATTCTATATGTTAATCCTGTTACTACCAATCTTTATCAAATTATTTTTAAAAAAATTATACTCTCCAACCAAACATAAAAAAATATTTTTTCAGATAATAAGTCATTTTTCTTGAAAATATTTTTTGAAAAATGATTTTCGTCGTATGAAACACTCCCTATCAAAAAGTAATTTGAAATTCACTATCACGTACGGCCCTTTTCCGGTCCTTGGTGAACACGGGATGCTTCATGCACTGAACTGCCGTTCTTTTACTACTAAATATTTTGAATTCGAAATAATGACTTTGAGGAAAGTATGTCGAAGATGATGTTCTTGTAATCAACTTGTACTCTTATTCTTCGCAGTGACATGGAATGTAACATGCACATACTCTCAGTTTATAGCCCAAAAACACCCAAGTTGCTGCGTCTCCCTCTCAACTTTCTACAATGAAACCATCACCCCTTGTCCTTCTTGTGCTTGTGGTTGTGAGAACAAACACAAATGCATCAAGTAAGTGTATCTTTTTGTACATCAATTGCACATGCATGTAAGGAACATTTATATTTGATTGAGTTTAACTTATGTACACTAATTACACTATCAGATCACCTAAACTATAGGTAATTGTTCGTAATAAGCGAGATTAGTAGCCTGAAAAATGAGGCATATAAACTGATACAACATGTTAAAATACATAATGTATATAAGCTAACATTACTAATCTTCTTGTGACACACAGGAGTGACTCTAAACTACTGAGTGTGGTGGGAATAAACACTCCAAGGAAAGACAATTCACCACTACTACAGTGCACACATCATATGTGCCCTGTTAGAGTGCATTGGCATGTAAAGCTCAACTACAAGGACTACTGGAGAGTCAAGATTACTATTACCAACTTCAATTACAGGGTCAATCACACACAGTGGACTCTTGTTGCTCAACATCCAAATCTTAACAATGTAACACAAGTTTTTAGCTTCGATTACAAGCCTCTCGTTCCATATCAATCGATAAGTAAGTCCGTGAACTCCCTGAAATACTCTATAGATGCAAGTGTTGATATTACATATGGCCACTGGACTTTACCCGCTATAACAGTAAGGCCATGAAATTCACCCTCTATAATAGTATAACCACAATATTATTTTGTCACATTAAAGTCACAAAACTTTTACCACTTTTAACACCTTGATCCGTAGGTTTTGCCGATATAGCAGGTAAAATTTAGTGACTTTACTGATACAGTGGATAAAGTTAAGTTGCTTTAATGTGACACAGAAAGTTTGTGACTTTGTGAGTAAAGTTTCATAATCTTACTGTTATATTGCATAAGAATTCAGTAACTAACAAGATATAGATTTGTGACATTACTGTAGTGGATAAAGTTGTGAAATTAGAAACATGTACATTAATCCTGTGTAAAACTTCACAATGCAGATGACACAGGAATGTTCTATGGTATGAAATTCTATAATGACCTACTTATGGAAGCAGGGCCATCTGGAAATGTTCAATCAGAAGTGCTTCTCCAGAAGGACAAAGATACTTTCACATTTAAG